TGTCCTAGTTTGGTAGATTGTGGATGAACCACGAAGAATATGAAGGTGGGACCAAAACCTTGGCATGGGCCATAAAATTAGCTTTCAAACAAGTACTCGAACATCCAAAATGGAGTTCATATGCAAAATCCTTGACCGTTTTACCATGGGACTATCCTGGTTGTCCAAACCATCCAAACCTTCTTATTTTCAAAATTATCATTTGAAAACAATTGAATCCATTTAGATTAGATACTTGCCGACTTATGGAGAGTCTTGGAATAGTCGGAAATCATCTAACCATGCATGCCATAGAATCCACAAACTCTCCATACTTGATAATTCTCGCATCTCACTTTTTAAACCCGTGCAACCGTGCAACCTTCAGTAAAATTGCGACTACTTTTGATTGGAACATCCAAATCATGTGTTGTTTGATCCCTTGGAAAGAAGACTTGATAAGATTTTCTAAATATGACCTTTTGATACCTTGAATTCCATTGATTTGTTGCACAAATCTGTAGACAATTGACGGTAAGTACTACACCACATCCTCATCAAGATTTATCCTAAAAGTTGATTTTTTTTTACTAGTACTATATTCTGCTACTATATTAGACACTACTTTGTACTACAAATTTAGATTGGAGATATTTAGCTTCCAATATTTTGGGAAGGAGTGAGTAGATGTTTTTCTAGTACTACGAACTAAGGGACTATTCACTTTGTTGCTAAAATTAATCTTACAAAAGTTTGGTAACAAATCCAAAAGTGGTGATCTAAACATTTCCAAAAGTTACCTCACCACTAAAGTTAACTTGGCAAAGGTATAACAAATCAAATAAAACCTACACATCTTAACATTGCCAAATATTTACAATGTCAAAATTTGGCAGTACTAAAATTTGATTAGGGTGATTTAGGCATCACAATGAACAACCCCCAAATTCATTTAGAAACTATATGTTTTAAGGAAGCGTAGATATTTTTACGACCATAAATACGTAGGCGATAGGTACATATCTTTTACTCCATCCATGAACAAATATAAATGATTTATTATTCAATCCATTCAATCAAAATTAGCAACGTCAACAACATCAAATTAGTTTTGTTAAATGAAACATTCAATATATGTTTATGATATGTTTGCTTTGTGTTGAAAATATTACTATATTTTTTCTATAAACTTAATCAAACCTAAAAATGTTTGACTAAGAAAAAAGTCAAATACTTATAATATAAAACAGATGGAGTATTATATATAGTATATGTATATTTAACTTTGAGGATAAATAATTACTATATTATAAATTTTGTGAACTTCTAATATATTTATTGCACGGATATATAGATATATTTTTAATAAATTATAGTTTAAAAAATTAATAATAAAACATATGCATTAAACTCTGTGTCGATGTCCAAAACGATGTCACCAAGGTATGAAATACACAAATTCACTCAAAAATTTCAATTTGTGAGTATATACCTAGGCATAAGAATTTGATTCATACCTATACCGAGCAACAAAATAACTCAAATTAAACTTTATTTCACATTCCATTATTACATACCTAACTAATATTATATGTTTAGATGCTATATACCTAGAATCAAAATCTATGAAAAAGATGTTCAAATTCAGTTCAAACTTGTTTGAACTAGTTAGTAAATAAGTTAATGTTCATAACTAACCTTTTTTAAAAAAAAATCATACTCATTTGAATTAGGTATATACTCAATTTAAAACTTGGTGCCCAGAGCCCCGGACACCATGAAGCCCTAGTTAATGTATATACACTCCCTCCGTTTCGAGTTATAAGACGTTTTGACTTTAGTCAAAGTCAAACTACTCTATGTTTGACTAACTTTGTAGAAAAAATGATAGAAAGTATTATAATATGAAACGGAGGAAGTACTACTTTTTTCTATAAAATTAGTCAAACTTAGAGTAGTTTGACTTTGACTAAAGTCAAATTGTCTTATAACCTGAAACAAAGGTATATAGCGCAGTGACTTTTCTCGTATCCATATATATGCAATTATTTTATTGAACAAAATATATTGTTGTTTTGTGAAAATTTGACTGAATTTAGTCTGTTATCCATATCCAATGCCAATTTGAACTTTTCTGATGATCCTTTAATCTCAATTCCACCAATATAATTAATCACTATGCCTACTTCATAGTATATTATTGTTCATTGCCTTCCGGATGTCTTTTCAACACCACATGTTTACTGAGGCTTCTAATTTCTATTGTGGTGCATACTTTAAATGTATAATTTGTGAAAATTGACATATTCTTTTGGCAAGGAGTTTGTACCACGTGCATTTCTAAGTACAATATTCAATCACTAATTTTAGAGTAAATTTCATAAAACTACAACTATTTAGACAAAACTATATTTTGCTGTAACTTCATATGAACATTTCTAAAGGCTGCAACTATATTGCATGCGAGCGATTTTATAAAAAATAAAACTACAACTTAAAAGTGATATGAGTGTTTGACATGTGGTTCTTTGACAAAGTTGCATTTTTCTCATAAATTGTCAACTATGGTTGTATGACCAATCAAAGTTGTAGCAAATTAATTGTTTTGACATATAGTTTTCTGAAATTATCATAAATCTAAATTATCATATAGTTTTCTGAAATTACTTATTTGGTTTGTAGCATATTTGTTCACACACACACACACACATATATCTATATATATTCGAAAGATCTTAAGTTTTATTAGGCCAGCCACCGAGTTATAATGTTTATTGTCCTATATTAGTTCTTGAAGCACAATCAACAACTTCAGAAGGTCTACATATATAGCCAGATTGGAAAGCTCATCGGTGTATTCACTATTGGTACTCATTCACTATTGGTACTGTCAGCACCATTTGTTGTGGTCTGTAAATCCATGTTCATGAGAATACCGTGTCTAAGCACTCGTATCACTTCTGTGATATGAGTGATAAATTTTTCAAACACAGTACAGTTTTGCACTATTTATGTCCAACGTTTCACCGTTCGTTTTATTTGAAAACTTTTTCAAATAAGATGGACGGTCAAACATTAGACACGGATTTTCACAGCTGTACTTATTTTTAGAACGGAGGTATTAACATTTCTTTTATCTAGCGCATATATTTTAATAGACCAGGCAAGAAAAGGAAAAATGATAGGTAGAGTGTCGATAGACTGTATAGTACGTACAGTTGCCAACAGTCCCCGTTTCTTCAGTTATAGACTTTTATATGGCTACTGGTTACAATATCTTTATCTGACGTCCAACTCTTTTCATATTACTACAGTGGAGGAAAAACAGAAAAAAAAAGGAGAACTATTTTTTTTAATCTAACCTGCCTAATCCAAAATATATCCAAACCTTATTAATTAATTACAGCTGTGATGGTATATACATACACACACAATTATTTTCTTGTGCATGCTAATCTACTATATACAAATGGCTCTGTTTGAGTACAAATGCAAATAATTGTGGTTGAATGGACTTAATTTTTTGGTCCTGTGTGTTATCCAGCGGAGTTACGTTACAGCTATACCGCATTGATGAAAATTAATGTTTTACATCAACCCCGCTATAGAAAAGTCTCTCTCTCCGGAATGATATTGATATATATGGTGCTGCATGCATGCATGTTCTTGCGCAATATATTACGGTGATTTTTATTCTTCTCTGATCAGTGATCACTCCATACATTGCGGGGTACTAGTAATTAATCAACCGTCTGGCTGTTGCAGCTAGCAACGCATGCAAATCTTACTGTGTGTTTTGTGATGCTCAAATCTAACTGTTACAGTCGTACTTACCGTTGCGCCAGACAAGCACAAGCCACAGAAAAGGTCATACGCAGTACAGTACTATATACAGTAACCGTTCCATGCATGATGCTAATTATCTGCATGTACTTTTACTTGGCTAATGACTCCAGATTAATTTGTGTATACCACATGCATGTATACCAGCGTACGTATTTTCCTGCAGTATATACTACTACTAGTAGTTAGGTACGTACGTACGTATGTATAGCCACTAGCCAGATTGGAAAGCTAGCTGCAGCCTGCAGGTGTAGCGTATGAGAGCATGTGAAATTCCTAAATAATTGAGGGTACACAGCCTTTTGCTGTCCTAGAAACAGTCGAGAAATTCAACCAAACTTGCCAGCTTTTTCAAACGCTTATTTATCATAATGTGGATGGGTTAGCTCTAGCTTGCTTGCTTACTCGCTTTCTCCCCAGTGGAGGAGGGAAGTATTGTACGCCGCCCTTAATTGTCTGTCTAGCTTGCCTGCAAATACTCACTACTGCTACGTGTATAATGCGTGCAGTTCATACGCTGTCCGGCGCCTCACCAAAACTGGTACCCCACCCCACCCTTCTATATATGTTTAGCCACGCACGCCATTGACAACTACTACGTCCTTTTTTTCCCCATATAGACGCCACAGCAAAATACTCAATGCTACTAAGTATACGCGATTGATAACTATTAGTATGTTTGGTAAAATGCCACTGTCACACGGTTAATAATGACGATGAATTTGGCTTGATGCTAAAAAATGCCCTAGATTTTACTGACTTTGTCAGAGAGATTTGTAGCTTTTCAGTCGTAACCATTTGTTTTTATGACTTTTGAATTAACTGATCATCTGGACTTGAGATTTTCTTTCTCCACCCACAGGAAAAAAATGAATAATTCTATGTTAAATAAGCGATGTGCTGTTACTATTGCGGAGGTACACGTATCATGGGAGCAGGTCAGGTAGCCGAAATGGAGGTTTTGTAAGGTGTTTATACGGCAGCGGCGCGGCGGCAAATTTGCGCTGCCGCCGGCCGGGGGGAACGAAAAGGGAGCGAGAGGTAGGAAAGGCTAAACAAGGGGGAGGGCGTGGGCTCTCACGCCACGGCCTCTAGGGCCACCAACTATTCCACCGCAATAATTGTGGGAGAGAGGAGAGGAGAAGAGAGGTGTGTGGTGGTGGTCATGCATAGTAGCCGAACACAATACACTTGTACAATCCTCCCCCTTATTTTACATATAGGCCTTTGTACCATAAAGAATAGACTAGGCATTATACCGAGAGGCATTCCTCTTGTGGGAGTGGGCAGTCAACCCTGCCCCAAAGACCAGACCAAAAAAAATTAAAGAAAAGAAAAAGGGTGTAGAGAAGTAGTCTGGATAGAGAGAGAGATGGTGGCTCTCAGGCTCTCAAGCTTGCTCCTCCTCTTCTTCTTCCATAAATTCCTAGGTTGCCCCTCTCCTGCTTTCTCTTCTTCTTCAATCTCCATCCCCATCATCTATCTATCCATCATCCATCAGACCAGACCCTTCCTCCTCTCCCCTGCCTACCGGCAGCAGCACCCAGCAGTAAGCCCCCAAGCAGTAAGCTATAGCTGCCTGTGTGAGGCCCCAAAATCTCTCTACTCTCCCTTTCTCCATCCCCACACACATTCCTCCGATATCTAGTATATCTCCCTACTACACCATCATCCAGGCTACATTAGTTTGGTCTCTTTTTTTTTTCTTTTATAAGTTTTGGGTTTTTCCTCACCACCACCACAAGCGAGGAGTTGCACAACCATCCAAAGGGAGGGGAGTGCAAGAATTGTGAGCTGCCACAAGTGATATTTTTCCAATTTTGTTTTTGGGCAAGTGTAGTGCACTCACTCACACACTAGGCAGGGGCAGGGGCAGGGCGGCCTATAAATAAAAAGAAAAAAAAAGAGAGAGAAGATATATTACTAGTAGTATTTGCTATTGGAAGAAGCCAAAGGCAGGGGAGGAGGAAGAGTCTTCTTCTGCTGCTCTCTCTCTTCTCTTCTCAATTCATCCTCCTTTTGTCCCTATCAAACCCTTTTTTTCTGTCTCTCTCTTTCTACCTTGGCATTGTTTTCTCGCAAATCTTGCTTTCTAAACCCCCAAAACCTCCCGGAAAACAACCCACCCACCCCGCGCGTGGATGGACGGCCCGCGGCCGCCGCCGCCGCCCAATGCGCTGCGCCGATCGCGGTTGTTTCCGACGACCACGCCGCCGCCGTCCGCCACCGGGGGTCTCCGGCATTAGAACCCGGGCAGTTGAGAATTCCACGCCGCTACGGCGGGATTGGATTAGCGGGCGGGCGGCGGTCAGGGAAGAGGAGGTTCTCTCTTGTGGTCGTTGCCGCTGGAGGTGATCGATCGATCGGTCGGTCGTCTCGCGGGGCGATCGGTCGGCATGTCGACGGCCGCCAAGGAGGAGGCGGCAGCGTCGGCTCCGGCGCCGGCAATGGGCGGCGAGGAGGCGGCGGCGCGGGCGGCGCAGAAGCGGTACGAGGGGCTCCTCACGGTGCGGGCCAAGGCGGTCAAGGGCAAGGGCGCCTGGTACTGGGCGCACCTGGAGCCGGTGCTCATCCCCGCCGCCGACACCGGGATGCCGCCCAAGGCCGTCAAGCTGCGCTGCGGCCTCTGCTCCGCCGTCTTCTCCGCCTCCAACCCATCGCGCACGGCTTCGGAGCACCTCAAGCGGGGCACCTGCCCCAACTTCTCCGCGCCACCGCCGGGCGCCGCCGCGGCATCCGGTTCGTCCGGTTCGCAGCATCAGCAGCAGACGCCACAGGCGGCGCTGCAGGCGTTGCCGCCGCCCAACTCGACGGCATCGTCCCCTATCCCAATCTCGTCCATTGCGCCCTCGTCGCCGCGCCACCCGCACCACCACTCGCAGCCCCAACAGCCGCAGTCGCATCACCACCATCACCATCACTCCGGCAGCCGGAAGCGCCACTCGATGCCTCCGGCGTACACGGCCGCGGAGCCCGTGTCCCACCACCACCATCTCGTCGTCGTCGACCCGTCGACGGTTTACTCCCCTCCGCTGCCCGCCCTGCCGCCGCCACCACCGCAACAACCGCAGTCGGCGCTCGTGCTCTCCGGCGGCAAGGAGGATCTCGGCGCGTTGGCCATGCTGGAGGACAGCGTGAAGCGGCTCAAGTCGCCCAAGGCGTCGCCGGGGGCGATGCTGCCGAAGCCGCAGGCCGACGCGGCGCTCGCCCTGCTCGCCGAATGGTTTCTCGAGTCGTCGGGCGGCGTGTCGCTGTCGGCCGTGGCGAACCCGAAACTCCGGTCCTTCCTCCGCCACGTCGGCCTGCCGGAGCTGCAGCGGACAGACCTGGCGGGGGCTCGGCTGGATGCGCGGTTCGCCGAGGCCCGCGCCGACGCCACCGCGCGCGTCCGCGACGCGCTCTTTTTCCAGCTCGCGGCGGACGGGTGGCGGGAGCAGGTGGTAACTCTGTGTGTCAACCTCCCAAATGGAACATCCGTGTTCCACCGCGGCGTGCCGGTCCCCGCCCCGGCGCCCTCGGACTACGCCGAGGAGGTGTTGCTGGACGCGGTGGCGTCCGTGTCCGCGTCTGGCTCCTCCAACGACCTGCACCATTGCGCGGGCATCGTGGCTGACCGCTTCAAGTCAAAGGCCCTTCGTGATCTGGAGAACAAGCACCATTGGATGGTGAACCTGTCCTGCCAAATCCATGGCTTCACCCGGCTGGTTCGGGACTTCGCGCGGGAGCTCCCTCTGTTCCGCTCCGCTGCGGCTAAATCCGCCAAGCTGGCCGCCTACTTCAATGCCAAGCCGACGGTGCGGTCCCTGCTGCACAAGCACCAAATCCAGGAGCTCGGGCATGCGTCGCTTCTCCGTGTGGCGCATGTGCCATTCAATAGCAGCGGCAGCGACTACCGTGCGGCCTTCGAGATGCTGGAGGACGTGTTGACCTCTGCTCGCCCGCTCCAGCTCGCCGTCTTGGAAGAGTCCTATAAGCTGGTCTGCATCGACGATTCGGCCGCCAGGGAGATGGCGGACATGTTGCAGGATGGGTCATTCTGGAGTGAGGTTGAGGCCGTGCATCTGCTCGTGAAGCTGATCATGGACATGGTGAAAGAGATGGAGACTGACAGGCCTCTGGTTGGCCAATGCCTGCCTCTCTGGGAGGACCTACGTGGCAAGGTTAGGGATTGGTGCGATAAATTCAACACTGATGAGGGCGCTGCCCTGAATGTGGTGGAGAAAAGGTTCAGGAAGAACTACCATCCAGCCTGGTCAGCGGCTTTCATATTGGATCCTCTCTACCTAATCAAGGATGCCAGTGGGCGCTACCTCCCGCCCTTCAAGTTCTTGACTCCTGATCAAGAGAAGGATGTGGACATGCTCATCACCAGGATGGTGTCGCGGGAGGAGGCGCACATTGCGGTCATGGAGCTCATGAAATGGCGGACGGAAGGGCTGGACCCGTTGTATGCGCAGGCGGTGCAGGTCCGGCAGCCTGACCCGTCCACCGGGAAGATGAAGGTCGCAAACAAGCAGAGCAGCCGCCTTGTCTGGGAGACGTGCCTGAGCGAGCTCAAGTCCCTCGGGAAGGTGGCTGTACGGCTCATCTTCCTCCATGCCACTGCTAGGGGGTTCAGGTGCTCACCCTCCATGCTGCGTTGGCTCTCTGCTCCTGGCAGTTTAGCCGGTGGCATTGATCGTGCGCACCGGCTAGTGTTCGTTGCTGCAAATTCCAAGCTAGAGAGGAGGGATTTCTCAAGTGATGAAGACAAGGATGCTGAGTTACTCACTGAAGGGGACGATGATGTGCTAAACGAGCCTGGCAGTTTGGAGCGCTCCTCAGTGTAACACCCTTATTTAATTGTTCGTTTCTTTTTCTCTATTAGCCTTTTTTAGAAGTTAATCCCTAGGAATTTGCTAGAATTTCCACCCCCTACCTATTTTTTTGCCTCCTAGAAATTTCTTCCTCGTGCCCATGCTGTTAATTCTTACTTCCTCACTCTAGATTTTGGTGGGGTGGGGAGTGGGGCATGAGATGGAGATATGCATCCTTTGTTCATCAAGTTTGGTTAAGAATGACTGTCTCTTGCCATATATGATTCCATGGGGCCATTGAACTTGCAGAGATTAATGGAAGTCTTTCTGTCAATATGTTCATAGTCGGTGGTACACCGAAAGCGGGAAGAATGTGTAACCATTTTTTTTTGTGAAAATTAATAATATTGATATGCAATTGAATGCAATCTGACTGCCGTCTATATATCTATTATTGCTTTCTTCAAATTGCACTGTTACTTCTTTTACATTGTTCTTGAACGTGTGGTGCTCTGTTCCTAGTTAATACTACCATACATCACTCCACTCAACAGTCCACACTGAGCAGGCTTCGAACAAAGAGTAATAACATCCCTTTATTGTTTTGACCGTGATTAACTCAACACCAGGAACTCTTGCTACTCTGAAAGAGAAATGCTCACCGGATGCTAATTAATAATATCCTTGTGTGGTTTCTTCTAACGCGCCTGGCCTTGTTTCTGGAGGCATTGTGCATCATTGGAGCTTGGCAGCTTCTGTGATCCTGTCATGACTCATGAAGGCGAGGCTCACTTTGCAACAGCATCAGCCAAGAAGGTACATATCTCATCTTCTAGGATGTTCTTTCGGTTCTACTCCATGGCATTTGGCTTTTCAGCTGGACCTGCTATGCTGGAAGTTTAAACAGTAGCAGCAGCAGAAGCAGCTCCAGCTCGGTTTATTACGAGGTGAGCGGTGCCAACTTTCACATTTTGCCTTTTCTCAGTGTTACTCGTAGCATTTACTGTTTTTCTCCAGAGTAGGCACAACGGCAATGCCGCAATGGGTTTTTCTGCATTGTGTGATCATGTGAGATTATCATGAGCACGGTCGTTGTCGTCGTCGTCATCTTCTTCTTCGTGCTCCTTGCCTTGGTCGTCGCCCAACCGGGCGATGATTGCGCCGGTTCGCATGGCTTCATCTCGACGGTATCGGAAAGGCTCCGGTCCGGAGAGGGATGAAAAGCCGGAGTTGAAGGTGCAGACACGGTAGGCTTTTTGCTCCTCCCCCATCCCCATGCCCATCACCACGGCCAGGGCCTTTGACAATCATGCCTTGCATCAAAACATGTCCTTTTAGTTTGCAGGGGGTACAAGCTTGCCAAGGCAGTGATCGATTCCCTTTCCTATCATTGGGATGGGCACCTCGGTTGCTGCCTACCGGAGAGCTCGCCGTGCTTTCGATCCAATCTGCCATGAGAGCTCCTCTCCTTGCCCTTCTGGTCTTATGGTTTGATGGAGAAAAGAGCGTTTGATTGGAGCGGCAGGGATGTGTTCTTGGACAGGAGAAGAGGAAAGAAAAGCCTGTGTAATACAGGCTGTTCCTGCATCCGTACCAATTGGGGTTTTTCTTTTTTCGCTCGGCTTCTCTGTTGCTCCTGGCTCCTGCTGCTCTCTCCTCCCCTCAGCTGTCCAAGCACATGCTTTACCTGACTAATCATTACCATTTGAGCTTTATTAGGCGTCGTCGCAGAGAACGGAGGAGATGATTATTGGACATAATGCAGTCAGTATTCAGCAAGTGATGGTGAGTATCGTTGGTGCTGGCACATCTCCTTGTTTTTCCTTAATTTTCCTCCTGTGTCAGTACTGCTGGGGCTGTGTAGTTGTTGCTAAAGTAGTAGTAGCAGCAGCAGCAGTACAAACTATTGCTGGAATGGGTGTATTCTGCTTTTTCTCAGTCGCTTTTGCAACTTGATGTACTATGTTTTGTACACATGTTGTGTAGTAGTTGGGAATATGATGCTGTGAGGGGTGTTAAGACACGGCCTGGAGACAAAGCTTTGTTGTTGTTGTTCTCTTTGGGTCCTACTTAGGGCTCCCTTTTCCCCTCGTCTTAGACTAATAATCCAGCACTCTCCAATCAAGCTCTTTTATGCTTTTTTCTCTCTGGTCAATAGAAAAATGGATGGGAAAGGGAGGCCAAGTATTTGGATCCTACTAGCTTGTTGCAAGTATAAACAAGGCAAGTGTACAATCCTTGTCCAACAACGATTGAGACCCACATCGCCACATGGGAAAGCAAGAGAGGCCCTTAAAGGATCAAAACAAGAAAAATTAGCGCCTCCTGTTTCCTGTTGTTTTAAAGGATGATAGCAACAAAAGAAAGCCAAGTCCATACAAGGGCAAGAAAGAAGGGGTCTTTGTAATGATGATGATTATGATACACACACATGTTGATCCTGGCTAATCGATCGAATGGAATAAGTTGCTTGGACGTGGATGGTGCCATGTATGCATTGTAATGTAAAGCAGAGCAGCTCTCTTTTTGTTGTTGTTGATGCAACAAGTACTCCCCTCAGGGTGGGGGGGTTGTATTTGCTAAGAAAGGGGGAAACACCTGAGGGGATGCCTTTCTTTGTCTTGAGGCTGAGTGTTTTCTCCTCTCTCTCTCTCTCTCACAGTGTTTTGAGGTGTGCGTGTGCGGAGACCCCACAGTGAGAGAGAGCAGTGCGTGTCAACCTCAGTCCTCTCACCTTGGCTCAGCATTCAGCAAAGGGACCGAACTCTCTTAGGGCAGTCTCAACCCATATTGTTTATAAGTAGTGTCTGTAATACTATGTCAATAAGACATCATAATAGAAACTACAGTCTACCATCCATGGTTTCTTAAAGTGGGCCATTAATAAATACATCATTTCTCTTTTCTACCAATCATATTTATTCTTCATCTATTATGAAGAAATTATTCTCTTCTAATGCAAAACTTGATAGTGTCTAGTGCATAGGTTCTCGTATTGAAGCTGTGTCTTGCATGAGACCCAGTTTCTTCCTCTCTTCACTCTCTCTCTTAATTAATATAGTGCCACATAAGCTAAAAGTCCTACATGGCAATATAGTTAATGCTATAGACACCATCCTAGATGGAGGGTTGGGACTGCCCTTAGGTTCAGTCTGTGCGATGGATGGATGGATAGATGGATAGATTCATTGATAGCTTGTCTGCTGGACATTACCTCTTCTATCTTCCCTTGCCTTGCAACACAACGCATGTCTTGGACGAGACGACGGCCTTCCTTTCTCAATCACCATCTTCTTTTTGTGGGATAAAATGACTAAGAAAAACACGCGCGTTGCGCGTCGACGACGGTGGTGCCGTGGCGGTGGCGGTGCGCGACAGCAGGCAATCGACGTCGGTGCGATCGTACGTCGGCGGTGGAGCCGAGGGCGCCATGGATGCCGGGGCGAGATGCTCTGGACATACGCTAGAGTACAACGGGATTAGGCTTGTGAGCTATGCTAGTGTGGTAGTTTAATGGGTACTTGTCGACGTAGACTACTAGTACACCTATTTCTTAATTGGGTACTTGGCGACGTAGCTAGGGAGTAGAGATAGCTGCGAGCAACTTGCTCACAATAATAGAGGTGGTTATCTACAGTTGACAGCAAGTGTTATGTGCTTTATCTTTACAGATAATCAATAATTCTCCTATGGAGTTTGGATACATATATGACGAACGGCATGCTGCACCACAGAGGTGTCAATTTTCTGAATTGAACAAAAGTTATTGCCATCTTCCATTTCAAGTTTTTATTGTCATCCCGTAATGTATATATAGGCTGCATTTTCAATTGTTTTTACTGCAAATATGATTAGTATGGAGTTCTCAACCTCTGCATTGCACAAACTATTATTATAAATTTTGTAAATGTTAAAATATGGCAGTCACTTTGAACACCCGCGTAGATTGCATCCTTATATTTTTTTTTCATATAATAGCATATATATTTACATATTTTATCATTAAAATATTTTAAATTATGTACTAACTTAACCGAACTAACCAATGTGTAATATTCATATTGTATTTTATATATGTGATAGTTAAAATTATATTACTACTAGAAAAAGTGCCCGTGCGTTGCAACGGGAAAAAATACGAGAAAATTGAGGAAACATTGAGAAATATTTACAATCTGTAATTAATTGAAATACAAATTTCACCTTCTTTATATAAAGCTACATGTGAAATCGTAATTGCACATTTATACGATGTTCTTTTACCAAATAATCGGACTTTTTTTTCTGTCTTTCTGACAGCTTTTTCCTAGCATGTTTTTCTTTTCTTTTTTTTACCGACAACGAAAACTGATTTTTCCTCGCGCTTTTCTGCCCCTTTTTTCTGACTTTTTTCTCACGGGTTATTTTTGCTTGTTTTTCTCGAGCGTTTTTTTTCCTCGTGAGTTTTCTTGAAACCGTTTTTTTCTCGCACATTTTTTTATATTTTAATGAACAATGGAAACTTCTCTTTTTATGTTAGTAATTAGATAGCTTAGACATAGAGAATATATGCACTGACAATGTTTTTTTTTACAGACGGCGGAATCATAATTTTCTCGCGTGTTTTTTAACATTTTTTTCTCACATTTTTTTGCTTTATTTTTTCTAGCTGGTTTTCTTTTTCTCGCATGTTTTTTTCTTTTCTTAGTGGACGATGGAAACTTATTTTTTAGATAGATATATTAGATTAGATTAGATATAAAGAGGCTTTTTTTGCCGCGTTTTTTCTCCCCTTTTACCATATAATGGTTTTTTTTGTTATATACGGACGACGGGAACTTTTTTAACTTTTTAAGTAGCTATAGATATAGATAGAGATAGAGATGAAATCTTTTTTCCTTTTGTGATTAGGAATTTAGATTATTTATTTATTTATTAGGAATTAAAAAAACAGAACGGCAGACGAGAGGGGAATTTTTTTTTCCACCTCCGATTCGCTCTTTTTTTTCGTTGCCGCTTTTTTTTGCTTGATAGCTCTTTTTTTTAAAGATAAGACGGACGACGGAAGCATTATAAATTTTTTAAGTTATATATATATATATATATATATATATATATATATATATATATATATATATATATATATATATATATATATATATATATATATATATATATATATATAGGTTTTATTTGTTATATACGGACGACTTTTTAAGTAGCTATATAGATATAGATAGAGATAGAGATGAAATCTTTTTTCCTTTTGTGATTAGGAATTTAGATTTTTTTATTTATTTTTTAGGAATTAAAAAAAACAGAACGGCAGACGTGAGGGGAGTTTTTTTTTTTCCGCCTCCGATTCGCTCTTTTTTTTTCGTTGCCGCTTTTTTTTTTGCATGATCGCTCTTTTTTTTTAAGATAAGACGGACGATGGAAGCATTATAAATTTTTTAAGTAGTATATAACAGATATGAACTGTAGATTGGTCTTCCAATATTTTTTATTTTTTAATTCTGAATTTTCGTTATTTTCAAATTTTATTCCTATATGAACTTGAAACCCTTCTTTTAATATTTCCTATTTTTAAATTTCTAATTTCTGTTATTTATAAATTATATTTTTATATGAACTCTAGACTATTATTCTAATATGTCTTATTTTTAAATTCTAAATTTAAATAAGGAATATGCTTGCTAACACACGTTCAAAGAAAAACCCAGTGGGAATTTCGTGACTTTACTAAATTCATAAGTTAATGTTGATGATGCAAGTGTGTATTCCTAATATTGATAGGCATCATGATTTTAATCGGTGGATAGAGTCATACACTTACGATACCACCACTACATCTTTTACCTAGTAACTTAAATTGCACCCGGATATACTATTACTGTATAGACAACTATATCTCATCTGCCTTCTTTATTCTGAAAAAAAAAGGGAGCGCTGACATAAGAATATACGTGGATGAATCCGAAACCATGGTTTTTTTTGTCACTGTAGTTATTTTTTTAACAGAAATGGAATATACTCCATACTTGGATCTATCTTTTGTCTGTCTTCATATATTCACTTGAGACAACATAAGGAAAAACAGGCACAACGTTCAACTGACATTGATATTTATATTTTGTAAGACGCAGAAGCAGGTATCTCAACCATCATCTGTCCCTTTTGGCTCTTGGTGGCCTCCAAAAGCACCTGGTGAATGATTCAAATTTATTAGCACCTCGCAACTAAAATACAGGCATGAGGAGGAGTATTACTCTAACCAATATCATAATCAAGTTCAACTGCGATTTGCACGCATTCATCTAGAGTGGTTCTCGACGCGCATGATGATCTGCAGATGTAGTAATCAAAGATCTCATTGATTTGAGCGCTAGCTTACTTAGGAGTATCTCTGGCGCATCAGCCCGGGTCAGTAAACTAATCCTTCCTGCTTACTATTACTTGAGAGGATTATTAAACTGAGCCATTGGGAAAGCATACATGGCCTCATGGCCTTTTCTGCAACGAGGGAAGTTGATCAGAGTGACAGAGTCAAGGGCCACAATAATCTATTCGGTGAAAAGCCTGAGGTGAAGAGCATATTTGTAGAGAAAGGGAAAGGGAGAGACATTGGCTACTGCTCTGCCTTTGAGATTTGAGATTTCATCATTGCTTCATCTTAGTTTAATCTCCTGGTGGGAAAGGGGGCGCATTCCATAAGAGGCATTGCCAATACCATATTCACAACCTCATTTGAATGAATGCCTCTTTTATCCCATCATTTCCCCATCCTAGCAAAGGTAGTCGGTCAGTCAAAGAAAAGAAAAAGAAAAGAAAACAAACAAAGAAAAAAAAGATAATAAGTGTTGGCTGGCTGTGAGCATTCAAACCCTAATCAAGAGGGCCAGTAGTAGTAATCAGTAATCGCCTTTTATTCCTCGGTCAAAAGTGCAGATTTGGAGCTGGGCGGTGGGCCCCCGCTGTCGGGAGCGGGCAGAGGGATTAGAAAAGATGACAGAACAGCATGCAAGGCATCTGAATCTTGATTAG